TAGTAAAGGCTTCAGAAAGAGCTTTAGTTTCAGCCTGACTTTTTTTCCCCTTCCTATCGCTCACTCCAGTTTAACTTGTACCACTGGGGCAGAGGTCAGGGGGAGAATGTGAATGTGCTTTGTGAGAGTAGCTGGTGTATTTGGAGAAAAACTAGCAAGCTTTTTAGCACAGTTTCTAAAGCTGAAATGAAGAAGCACTTTTGTGCAAAAACCTGGCCTGTTTTTCCCCACAATATCAGTTGTTCTAATGAAATATTTGACTTCTCCCCGCAGAACTTGCTTTATGTGCTTGAACTCGCGTGACAACAGCAACCGTACTACAGCTGTACGGGATTTACAGCTTCACAGCACATATCTAAGTTAACGAGAAGCGTCTCCGCATTGCATCTATTCTCTGTAATAGGCGTGAATGCAAGCTGGCCGTCCTGAGAGCAAGTACTTTGTGTACGTAGAGGAGGGGGTGAGGTCAGGATAGCTCTCTGACTGCATGTGCCCCAGGAGTCTTGCACAACTGAACTGAAAAATGAAGGGCTTTTACACGGGGGAAAATACAGGTAAAAACCAGAAAGGACTACGTAGTTACTGCAAACCTTTTGGAGGCACAGTTAGCAATAGTAGTGTTTTGAGGACAGTGAAGAGGAGCAGGAGGAGGAATGACGGGCAGACAACCTTCCCACTTTCTGGGAATTTTGTCACGTTCAATAACGAGGAATAAAGGCTCCTAATACTGTTCTCCATGTGCAACTGTTCTCAGCTCTCGGGATCTCCCGAGTCCTCAGCGGCTCTCTTCCAGCTACTTTTCCCATCTCCCCATGAACGTCGTAGACCTTCCCTGTGTGCCAGCCTACAGGCCAGGTCTTTCCCCCACTGAGGAGTCCCAGCTTACGCAGATGGTCCTTTGTGGAAGCCGTTCGACCTCTGAGCTTCCTTGCTGCATTTCTCTGAACCTCTTTCAGTTCAGCTCTGTCTGGAGGTACCAGACTGCACCCAGGATTAAGATCCAGGCTAAGCATGACGTAGGCAGTGGCATAATGATTTTCTTCCTTTTGTTCTCTCTTGCTTTCCCAGTTATTCATAACATTTGATTTCCCCCCCCCTTTTTTTTCCCCCAACCTTTTCCTGGACAATGTTTTCATGGCACCAACCAACCACCAGGTTTTCCCTGACCCCCGAGGGAAAGGGACAGCTCAGAGCCTGGTCCTTTTTTTGTACGTGAAGCCGAGGCTTTCTGCCTCAGGAGAACCTTTCTTCATAGTCCTCCTCCCGCTCCCCCCCCCCCCCCAGTTTACAAAAAGAAGGAGGGTTTTTTCCCCTTTGATTACAGATAAAGATCTTCACTAGTATTCGTCAAAGCTCTGTGAGCTCCCCTGGAAATACCTCGTTTTGATCATAAGTCCACGTAAGAACTTAGGCACGTGTGATTTTTGATCCCGTTGATAAGGTCTACATTAACGCTCGGTCCTATTAATACACTTAACAGAACGTCACGCAGACTGAAGTTGAATGTCTAAGAGAAGTCTGAATATTCCAAACCGTTACCATCATAAACCACATTAACAATGCAGTAAAAAGAATAATTTTACTACACCTATTTGGCACAAAACCGTGATGACTGACAGTATTTTTGCTCCTGCCTTCTATTCCCTACCGCTTTGAATCAGTAGAGAACGGGGGGGTGAACAAGAATGTCAGTACTACGGGAAGTTTGCTCCATTGCGCTGCTCTCCTTGCCTCGTGCTGGAGTAGCTATACCACGTTTGTACAACTGATGGTTAGACGTGAGTCCATACGTTTATTTTTTGGCGCTGTCCGAATACTGACGCTAGCACACCAGCTTTTCAGTTTCTTACGCTGTTACTCTCTCCTTATGCTGAGGGTTACTGTTGTTTACTAGATCTCCAGCTAGGGAATCTGCACAGGCGTCTTTGTGACAGCGCGAAGGGTCCCATTCAGAAGCACTTTGTCGATCTGACCGTAAATGTAATCCTGATCTGAGCTTCTGAACTTTGGTTGTGTGCTTGGTGTTCACATCTTCAAAACTGTAACCTCTCTCCTGGGCAGAAGCAAGTTGAAATTGCTTTTTTTCAGAGAGCAGAATAAGAAGAGGCGACACGGGGCTAAGACACATGCAAACCAGAGCCAGCATTGCATAAGGTGCCATTTTATTTCTGTTCCGTTATGTTAGCTTTAATTGTGTGTAGCTCAATCTTTACGTCCTTTTATTTTGTTTGAGTAGCTGCCCTAGGATAGATGCGTCCCAGTAGAAGTCTTGCTCTTCCAGGATTATTCATTTCTTGTTTGGGCTTCCGAAAAGGAGGGTCACAGTTCATACACATGCACAGGTCTCTCTCCTTGCCCGTGTTTTTGTTCTCGCATACTCCTATTTTGTCCCCAGAAATCATTTGCTTTATAGGCTCGAATACTCATCGTAAGGTGAGGCGTGTGACAGCACCAGCTGAATCTGAGAGGAATATGGGTAAAAGGCAGGGAGCCGCCTTGCCCAGAGGAGTTCATCCCGTTTCTCACATCTATGAGCCTTGATTCTTTGTCTCTGGCTTGGCAGAAATCCTTCCACTAAGACAGAGAAGATCAGAGGTCCTGTTTAGACTAGGAGAAAAAAAATTGAAGTTACATACAAGTTTGCTAACATTAGCTAAATTCAGTTACTTTCCTAACCAAGAGAATGCTCATGAGTAGCCACCAAAATCACATTATCAGCAATTGCTCGCCAGTTTTTTTCATTTTTAAATACTGTGTGAGTGGGTAAGCCTCATGAAGGTCCGTCTTAAGAGTTACTGAATATCAGGTTTTATTAGTTACAACCACATTTGGATATTCTGAGTTATTTATTGAGGTTATGGTATGTATATTTGTTTTAATGCAGACCTGGATATTGACTAATGGGAATCAAAGTTCTGAAACAGGTAGCCTATGAATCCCATGCTCTTAAGAGATGCAAGTGCATTATCTCATCACAGGGTAACATCTGCTGAAATAGATTCAAACCACATTTCACTGGTGTCTGGCATTCTAAATGTCCTGAGGGTTTTTCATTAAAGAAAATCAAGCCAAAAACATCTCGGACTTTCTCAGATAAAAATGCGTTACCCAACTCTTATGTGACCCCAGAATTATTTCTTAAATATCCTTATACCATGGTAATCTTTATGCCCAAAGGACCTCTGATGGCCTCCTGATAATCTTTTTTTTTGCAAAGTACGGGTTGGACGTTTCACTTGTTTTAACACAAGTTCTCCTCCCTGTCTTTATGCCATATTCATGTGTCTGAAGGAACCAGAAACACTGGAAATGCCAAAAAACTGAAACTGTGTTTAAAAAAAAAAAAAAGTTGGTCCACTAGTAAGAACGAAGTTGTTTTGTCCTTTTTACTTTGTTTTGCTGCTGCCTGCATGAATGTCAAATCCCAGTGAGATTATTTCTCTTCACTTGTTGTTTGCGTGGATGTTTTTCTATGCTTGTACGTAACCTTTGGTCTCATGTTCTTTTGATGTTGGTTCCGTATTTATACATATGTACTCAACCTAGGTGAAAGTTGTTCTGCGCAGTCATTAAATACAACTTTGCATTCCTTTTGGTTGCTCATAATCCCCAGGCCCGGAAGAAAATGTAATTTGGCAATTGAGGCAGGGTGTTTTTCTGTCTTTAGGTAACTGAAGGAAAAGGTCAGGCTCTGCTAGGTTAATTCAATTTTTATCCATCCATCCATCCATCCATCCATCCATCCATCCATCCATCCATCCATCCTTATTCACATTTCTAGTATACCTAACTGGAAGACTCGACAGCTGATAAAAGTTTAACCCCTATTGTATCTAGAAAAGATAAGACTTCTACTGTGCTTTCCCTCTTGACTAGTTCATGAGTAAGGAGAGGCTATGTTCTTCTCAGCTGACCGTTGGAGGCTGAGCACTTTATTACTAGAGGTATTTCTGCAGCATAGACGTTGTTCCTATTATTTTATCTTAGTTTTCATCATTATAGATCTTTTAGCATGTGTTGCTATTCATTCCTCATCTCCGGTCACAGAAATTGTTCTCTTTTGTCTCTTCAGGCAGAGCAGTCGGTAGCAGAGTTGACGGGGGCTCAGAATAAGCTGACTGCTGAAATAGCTGATCTCCGTGGTGCAGCAGCGAACGTGGGCAGCATCAACGAAGCCCTCGCATTGGATAAAGTGCAACTGAACAAACTTGTGCTGCAGGTGAGCAGAGTTGCCAAAGGTCTTGCCAGGTGTTTGTCTCCAGCTGCTGCTTCTTCTCAGACTTCTTGCCTTCCGGCAGCATGGCTGACTGAATATGGAAACGTTGTTCCTTTTTCCGTCCAAGGCAAACCTCCTACAGGGTAAATCTTACTGTCTTTTCCTTCCTCTGTGCTTCCGTGATTGCAGCTGGAGCAAGAGAATGAAGTTCTGTCGGGTAAAGTGGACGAGATGGAGAGAGCAAAGATCTGTGACCAGGAGAAGCTGAACTTGTGTGAAAGAACAAATGAAGAGCTCGGCGCAGAGAAAGCCCCCCTGGAGCAGCTGCTGAAGAAAGCAGAGGAGCAACAGGGCATCACTGCAAGGAGATTTCTGCTCAGAGCCTGTGCAGTGTTTTGGAGAAATCAGTGTATTGAAAAAATAAAACCAGACAAAAGGTGTTTGTATGCAGTACAGAAACCGACAGGAACAACCTAATGTGCAGGGCTGTGTGGAGACTGACAAGGCACGCTGCGATGGAGTGCTCTGGACGAGAAAGAAATTTTACCTGCTCATCAGGTTCACCCTGCTTTTCCAGGCTTACGACTGACCCCATCCACACAAGCCAGCACCAGTTTTGTCCCAGCACTGCTTCTGCTGGGGAATCTGCAGTGAACACTGTGCTCTGAACCTTCATCTTACTTTGGGACTCATGCCTTGAACCAAGCCCCCTGCCACAGTTCACCTGCTCCAGCAGGTCCCTAACTTGGCTCCTGCTGAGGCCTTTTGCCGTACACTGGTCCTGTTACCTCAGGTCATCGCTTCTGGCAGATCTGGCTGTTGAATGCAACGGCTGTCTCTCAGGAGACTGATGGTCCGGAGGTATCAGTGCCAAGTTAAGGTTCAGAGACCGATCCAGCTGCCGGGTCTCTGCCTCCAGCACAGCAGCTTCGGGCTCCCTGACCACGGCTGCTAAGGAATAAGAGAGCTCTTGGTGAAGGTCTGACAGCTCCTGGCTGGTCTTTGCGCAGCACTCAATATAGTCCTGCTTGTATTTTCGTTCTCGTGCCAGCTGCGTCTGCAGAAGGGACACCTGAAAGAGGCAAAAGGCCGCGCTCAGCCAAGCCCACGCCGTTAGGACCATCCGTAGCCCCACTGTACCGGCTGTCAGGGAAGACGCACCCTCTAACTCCAGCCCTGGCAAAACTTTGTCCTTGTGGAACGGGAAGTAACAGGTTCCCAGAGTCGCCCTGAACTGAACTCAGATTATCAACAGTCCGAGTTTCTCTCTGGCATACCATTCACATGTGCAACACCGAGACATGACATGTATATTAGAGAGAGAGGTTCCTACAGGAAACTTGACAGCTAGCACATGAAAAGGGAGCAAACTCTCATTTTTCCTAACTTTAGAGCATGTCACAAATGAGCTGAGCATAATTTGATGAACACAGCCCAGGGGGGGAAATGAGCCTTAAAAGACTGCCGAAGCCTTGAAACTCCTCAAATTCTATTCTTTCCTGACAACACGGTGTTGTGCCTGCTGGGCTTTTTGGTGGGAGAGACCCAGCTGCTCTCACCTCCTCTTAGGTTTGCAGGGCAGGCAGGCACAACAGTCACACGGGGAAGGGGGTTCAGTTAGTTAGCGGTAGCAACAGAACTTCAGACACTGAGGCTTCCTGGTGAAAACAGCCTTAGGATATACCTTGATGGCTTCAGCAGTATTCTCGGCTCACTTGCCAGAGCTAAGCATCATGTACTTTACTGACATAAATATTATATGCGTTTTGCCTTGAACGCCTGTGAAGATTCACCTCCTCAGGGAGGCCAGGCTGTACCAGACCCGTAAAAGTACATGGAAGAGAAGTCTGGCGACTGCTGCTGCTGCTGCCAGTACCGCTCTCAAAGGATGCAATAGGGTTCAGTAGCTGGAACGTACATTCTTACACTGATAAAACAAACGTACATACGGTGCTTAGGTCTCTGACTCGGTCAGATACTGGGATCGTGATTAGCACAGCATGGCAATACGAGACTAACGATTGCCTGAAGGCTCTGATATGACGCAAGCTCCACTGTTAACGGAGCCAAGGGAAAACGGAAACAGTCGACAAGACGAGTAAGACTCAAGGGGAGCACCCTTAGAATATTCTCTATTTTCAGGCAAGTTCCAGTTTTCTGAATTGCCTCCAATCCCTCTCCCACCCTGCCTGACCTTTAGGCAAGCCAGAGACTAGAGCTAGGTGAATGATGTCTGGCCGTGGCCAACAGGTGTGTCGAAGTGACACTGCCTGGTGTAGTCACTTCCTGACAGCCCAACCCAAAACTCGGGCCATAGCATCAGGCAAAGTTGTGCCCATCAGTACAGCCACAGTGGCTTTTGGTGACAGCTTTCCTACTCCTCACCTGGTCCTGTAACTCAGCTAATCGATGACTGCAGTGATCATGAGACTCCTCCTGTGAAGAAAAGGCAAGGATTTCTGTTAAGTCTCCAGTCTGGTCAGGGCCGTGGTCTATATTCAACTTCTATTAGGTCGATACCGGGGGGCTGCTGCTGCCACTGGGATTTGCCATCGTTCCTCCGTACGGCCAGAGCCTCCTCCCACCAACTAAGATTCTGTTCTCACCTGTCTAGAAGCAGGCATCTTGTGCTGGTCAGACTGGGAGAGAGAAAATCCGCATGCATCTGGCAGCGACCGACCACCATAAGCTCTCTTCAGCCTCCTCCGTTCACGTTCCACCTGCACGTTGGATAGGAGAAAGGGTCACAGAAACCTGCCACCAAACAAGGAGCAAAAGGACCTCTGGATGTCGTGGCAAGGAGATGTCCGCTCAGAGACCGTTAATTGCACCAGAGAACGTTGGGGCTAAGAAGTACTCAGTGTAGGCTATCGAAAAGAAAGAGCAAGAGGAAACAGTTCCTGACACAAGAGAATCAAATGTGTGTGTATGGGGACGCTGGTGCAACAAGGGTGGTACCGGCGTGAATGTACATTTGTGAAGGCAACGGGGTGCCAGAAGAGAGAGAAAATACAAAAGTGTGTGTCCACAGGGGGAAGTGGGAGAGGGAAGGAAACAAGCAGAGGACTCCAAAGTGCTGTCTGTGGAAACGTGGTGTTGTTCCAGAGGACCATGAGGCTTTGCAGAGGCAGCGAAAGCCTGTTCTACCTGCTCAAGAGTCCGCCTGAGCTCAGCATTGAGTTGCTTCAACTCCGTCTTCTCCTGCTCCAGCCTTGCAACATCTCGCTGCAGACATTCCAGCCGCTGCGACAGGAGTCTCTTCTCTGAGAGCCAGGATAGCTGCTCGCCTTCTGCAATAGCCTGCTGCGTATTCAGAGAGGAGATTCTGTGAGCTGGTGCCACATAAAGGTTAGGAGGGCCAGAATTAACACATCAGGGAGAGCGACCGGACTCAGCAATGGACAGCGCTAAGTCCCTTCTTCTCCTCCTGGTCCGCGGGCCAAAACAACACACTCTTTTCCTAGGGGCCCTCCTCCCGATCACCTTGGAGAAATGGAGTTGCTTGTTCTGGACATGCTTCCTGCTAGCTTTGTTCAGTGTCCCCCATTCTGGTTTTGAGAGAGACTGGAAACATTCATTTCCTATTCAGCCACTTAATGGTTTTACAAAGGTCCCTAGCATTTCCCGTTCCCTCTCTCTCAGCCATTTCTTGTCCATCATGAAGACTTCCACGTTGACCTGTCCCTCTTGGGGAAGCCATGTAACATCTTTGGTCATCCTCTTTGACCTTCACTGCATGTCCTCCTGTCTACAGTTCTACTCTCTGCCCTCGGACAACCAAACAATATGCAAGATGTGGGTGAAGCATGTATTTCTGCAGTGATAAAATACTACCGTTTTGTTCTCTGTTCCCTTTGCCTGTTACATCATCATTACAGAACCGCTCTTTGGAAAAAATCAAGTTACCAACCAAGCCACCTGAAATGCTCTGAA